GCTGAGACCGAAAGTCGCTTGGCATTTCTTACCTCATTATTCGATGGAAACGAACGAAAATGGTTCCAAATACTTCCAGCTTTCGAGCAAGATTCCGGGAGGTCAGCAACCGTCAAGAGTAAGTTAAGAAGCTGTGTTTGGCGTAAAAAAACAGGCTTGCTATGGTAACAATGAAAAACTGACTAGATTAAACATTCATGTTTGTGTCTAATCGGGTAGATTGGTAAGTGGATAGTGCGTAGATCGTAAATGTATGCTGAGTACACGTTCTAAGAAAGATAGTCATTCTTGTTGACTCATTGACTGACCTACACTGGTCATAAGTGATACTGTACGTGTTTAAGTCTAAGTTCTTCTAGGGTTAAAGGCTCATGGGTATCTTTACAATTGAAGTGGGTCCATGGATAGGATGAGTGTGATCTAGGCCGTTCATCCCCAAGCCATTTCACTTTGATAAACAGAGTTATCAGTCTTATTCGTTTGGTCAGTTCACGATTAAGGCAGCCCCAGTGTCTGCGGTAGCATATACTGTCACATTTAGACTCGGACTAGTAATTCGTATACGTATCGGAATCCACGAATTAATAATCCAACCCAGAACTAGGACTCGAAATGAAATCAGAAGACAGAACTCAGCGACTGAATGGAACTGCAATGAGCGGAAATTCGGAATATACAAGGATATCGTGTTCAATAAAGCAAAAGAATTCATAGTTCATGAGCAATCACCACATAGACTTGGACCCACCCTTAGCAGTGACTATGGTGTGAGAAGCCCAGTACGGCGAATGCATGGGTGTGTGTGAGGGGGATTGTGGCTGGTCGCAAAATGTGGACGGTGAATTCCGCTTTCATTTGGTGACCAGCGTCGGTCAGAAGAACGAAACAGCGCACTGGTTACCCCGTTTACCTGTGTTGCGTGTAGCAGATATCACCGATGAATTGTTTTTAGACCGCTGTAATGCCAGCGGACAAAAGATGTTGTGGTAACAACGCAACTGAAAGTCTCCGTATACATAGTTATGGTGAATGCAAGCAACCTTTCGAGCACAACTTCGTTGATTCTTTAGGATTGTTTGTAAAAACTCGTTAACAAGGTCTTTATTACGTTTTTCCTCTTAGCACACTATCCACTTGTTTGCTAATGAAACTAACGTGCAAACAGCATCGAATCAATGACGGGATAAAATGACGTTTCGAATGGATTCTAGTTCTGGTTTCTTCCAAGCGTTCCATTGGGAGAACCATGCATGGTACTCTTGTTTGCTGCGAATATTTCGGTACTGTTCTTCAGTCAGGTGAATCTGAAACAGACTGCATAAAACGTAGGAGACTTTACAGATCTGAGCTGGAATATGATTTCGATGCAGTACCATTCATAATGTCACGTTGAATTTTCAAGATATGTTTTTGACGTTTTTTGAGCAGTCGGGTTCGGGATAGATTCCTATACTTTCGAATTTCATGACCGTACTCTTTGCCCGTTAGAAATGATTATTCGTGTTGAGAACATAATGCATTGTCACCTTTGTTATCTGATTGGATATTTTATCTCACTAGTACGCGATGACACTAAGACAAGTGGAATGTGGTCTTTGGCCAATTGGGGGACTTTGTTTTCAAGCTTCCCTGGTAATAAATGATATAGTGGAACTGGATCGTGGACACTACATATGCACCGTATCTCCCAACCGACCCCGGCCTGACCAAACAACTGTTTCTGGTCCCAGCTCAGCCGAGGAAATACAGCACTCGTTCTATTTGTTGCCACTCAATGATCCAATGCAGCAGTTTCTATATTCAGATGAAAGGTTTGAGTGAGTTCCAACAATTCAACCGTCTGCCCATTTTTCACATTCATTGTGTGTTCTTATCCATCGAGTCGAATTCTATTCAAGCACAACACACTTACTATCAATGTTCATCGGATAACGATCGACTAAAGTTCACTGATTTGACTTAACATGATAATGTTGGTCTTCCCTATAGTGCTTCATTTGTATTTTATTACCTCTTTACCCTCCATTCTGGGATAACGGCAACAAAAGTTTGGGCGAACAGCATAGACAAAAGGTAATAGGAAATCTAAGTTCCAGTGGCAAAGTCCGAAGTCCGGAACGTGCAAGACCGAAACCTCTTTACTGTCACCACTAATTTGGATGAGCTCAAATCAACCAGCAGCGATTTTTATGTCCTGTTTAACATGGCAAAGTACCCTCCGGAATTCGCACCGTTAAATTTTGAGACGGTAACTGTGAAATACCAAATCCTGCAGGTTCGTTCCGTGTGATTTTCAAATAGGCCGCGTATCCATTTAGTGGTTTGGAAAGCTCGTTCTATTTAACTTGCAGTTTTGTTTTACTCAATTCACTGATCTCGAATCAAAGCTTATTGAATCCAACTGAATTGCATGATACATATTCATTTAGTTCCATTTATTACAGCTCTTAAACCTGGTCGATTTACCGTACAAATGACATTTGAACTCTCACACACCCCTCACTGTATTATCCATAGTGTCCATACACACGCATAAAAATACGGACATTATCCTCTCTCTCTCTGTTTCCATGAGTTATGTGATTTTGTGACCTGCAAAACAGTGTTGTATTTGGTTATCAAATGATACACCGAAAACGAGATTGTTTGCCAAACTGGCTTCTTCTGGCCGATTCTACTGATTATTATTTGGTCAAAACATTGCTGTGTAATTTCATGTAATCAGATATAAGCTTATAAATTCTTTATTTAATAGAACAACCAACATAATTTCATGGAGCAGAGGTCTGAAAAATTTGGTTCAACAACAAACAAGCCAACCACAAAATATGTTACGATGTGCTATCTGGTTTTCCACTGTATATTGTCATCCGTCAGTTTTCTTACAGTAAGGGGATTTTGCATAACCACGATGTATCATCGGAATAATTTCTGTTTCACTGGGCAAAGCTCTACCTTTGCCACGTGAGTAATCAATATTAGTAACAAATTATGAATTCTGGTTTTTGATTCTTAAACTCCATCTCTTATGGCGACTAACTTCAAGAAATTGTGGTTCCTTGAAGTCAAAATTTACGTTGTCCGGCCGGTATTGTTCAGTATTTCATTCAGCTCACTTTACTCCAGTATGCGATCTCGGTCGAGGATTTTCCGAATTTGCTCAAGCACATTTAATCACAGCTAACGCATGGTTCCATGCGATTTAACGCTCCTCTCAACCACGGTTACGCAGTTTCTAATCAATGTAATATTGGTGTTGCAATCCTCGTGTTACCTTTCATCTATTATCTAAGATGTGAGCATTTATGACCTACTGGGCAAATCGCTTCCGGAGGAGAAATGCTATTTTTCGTACTAAGTGCATTCACAAGTTTTTAAATGCTCTAGAATATTTTCTGTCTGACCAGAAAATCTAATAAGTAATCCGGTAAATCGGTGAACGAGTTCAATCAGGCAAAGATTTTTTCGTCGCATTGGACGTTTTAATACATTCTTTTTGAAACCACTCGTTTACGTTCATGTGTGCAACGAAAGAGGCTTACTACTCGTTAACTTTGTTGTTGCTGCGAATGAGTTTAGATATTTTTATGTTTTTTTTAAATACTTGTGACGGTCTGTTTATCATCCAAGATAACAGACAGGTACATCGTTCTGACACGCATGCATTAAGTTTTGGTTTAGTCTTTGAGTTTATCTTTTCCGTGAATTCCGTTGTGGTTTTGCTGAAGGCGGTTTTTGTCGGGAATGAAGAAAGAATTTCACGCGTGTGATCGTTTCAAACGCAGCGAGTGTCCGAATAGCCATGGAGTATTGTATTTTGTATTTCTATAATTTATGTAAACTAGTATGCTCTCATTTCAGCTAAAATTGCACACTGGTCATCACACGCAATAAAATATGCAGTTTCAGTTGACAGACAAAGTGGAGAATGTTACTGACGTATGTTTGATGTACAAAAATTCTGACGTAATTCACTTTTGATCTGTTCCTTTTCGGTTTGGAGTCGGGCCAGGTAGGGTACAGGGGATTTCTTACAAATGGTAATGCGAGAAAGTGGTTTCAAAGCATTGTGGGTAGCACAGAAACTACATAGAGATTCTTCCGTAAATTTCTTCAAAACTAAATGCTGCAATTGAGGACAAACCCCGAGAAAAGGATATCTTCAAAGAAATGAATGATGCCAACGTTTGGTCTCCTGACTCTGTTACCAATTAGGCAGTGTTCAGAAAAAACGTTTGTTTGTTTCATACATGGTTCCTAAGTTCTTCAAATGCATTCACTTTTACTGTGACTATTCTTTCAATCATTGTCAGTTCTGGTGAACCTCATACATCTTCTGAAGAAACAAAATGCTTTCGCTATTGACATTAATCCAATAATTCTCCTTCGAAAATTGTCAGATCTGTTGCGGACGATGTGGAACCATTTCTGGATGTTTCATCGAATCACGAGATTGAAAACACCGTTCACGAGGTCTCTCTGACCTTGGCCGCTCCGCCATTTGAAATTCAGTTTACTTCGAACAGCACTGTGTGTGCGGGTGACAATTTGTCACTTCACTGTGTAATGGATCCACCGAATTCGGGCAATATGCTTTATCTGATCAAACTGGACGAACAAGTGCATTTATGGGACCCCAAATTGGACAATGACGGTGTGCTGGATTTGTTAAATAGTACTATAGTGGAGGTGAGTGAACATTCGTCGATCCTTGCGTCCGATTTTCAAAGTTTCACTTTAATCGTTTATATTTGTTACACACATCGCCACAATAGAGACGTGACAAAACAATTTGTTCTCATCGAAGAGGAAGGGGGGTAAATATTCAGCAATGCAAATCCCACCCCTTATATACATTACAATTTTTCAAGACAGATAGAGGGGTGTTTGGGCTATTGATAGTGGCATAACCTCTGGTTCAGAAACCGGACACTTTCCCATAAAAACACTTATTTCCTTTGGTCCACATCAGTCACTTGACTCTTACTGGCGGTTTTGCGATCTCATAATTATGTGTGTAGCTACGAGAACCGATTTTCAATAGTATGTGGTAACATCTACTACCCGATTAAAATAAACAGGCGAGCCCGATCAAGCAAAGGTAATTCTGTTTCTCGGAACCTAGCGCATCACACCTTTCCAATGCATGTGGAACGGTTCCGTCACACCGCACGGAAAAGATTTTAAATACAAGTGCATTATTGCAAAACGCCTTACTGCCTTTGGTGGTTTGATGGATAAAGTTGAGTCTCCGAATTCACAGTTCGGGGTTGGGTGGCAGTCACTCGTATCGAATTTCCAGTTTCATGTATTTCGATGTCCACTTAAACGCTGAAGCATTGTGATCGTCACGTGTAACGCTACCTTAGACGCGACCATTACGAGCCTTCAAAGGCCTACTGTATATGCGCTGCTGACGAATAAAAATGAGGAGGGGGGAATGACTAGGAAGTAACTTTATGGCTTTTTAGTTTGAGGACAGAACAATTTGATATTGTATCATAAAAGCACTATCTAACCCTAATTGACCTACTAAGAAGATTAGGAACGCTAATAAGTTACCCAAACTTAGGTAATACTACGTGCATTTTCTCCACAGCTATTCGTTTTGTCGCTCAAATAGCCTGTCATCCAACATTTGTTTTCTTTGTAATGCTAGGAATCTTCTTCTATGGAACAGGGTACCACAGAAGACCTTATTCATGTGTTTACGGGAGTCCGGATGGAGGATGCTGGTCGTTACTTGTGCACTGGTGCCATTCATGGTGTTCATCGAATGCGATGGAAAAGTATGCATCTTCAGGTGAAAAATTGCAAAGGTGCGTTTGATTTTTATTTTTTCCATCAGCAGTGTGGATTACGTTGGACTTTTATGTTTAGTATAAGCGATCAAGTCAGAATAGTTATATGAGGGTATCTAAAGGTACAGAGGGTCGCGCCAGAATCACTGACGAAATTTCACGCTGGTTCGGGCTCCCTGAGAATCATATGCTGTTCTCCATACCTGACGAACCAGAAATATCTTATTCTAACCGCGCTGTTTTATGAGCACCATGGTGTGCGAAAGCTTTTTTCTGCGAATTGAATGTACTACGGTAAACCGAAAGGCATATTACTGGTTTCATTTATATCGATTTAGAATCTGTGACTATGTAGTGGTAACCGCTGTTTGATCGATCCCCAAAGGGAAAACCACCTCACTACTTCTGATTGGTTCTTTCGGATCGATATATTATGCAATCACTTCTGTCGCTCTTTGTTTCAGCCACATTCATTGCAAGTTTCCGCAAACTGCTAACGTCATTTCCAAACAACATGACTTTGTTGTTACCCATTCTGGTACTGCTGATAATTTTTATCACAATTTGGTTCCGACATCAATGCATGGACAATGAGGAGGAGGATGATGAAACCGATGTAGAGGCAGCAAAGCAGCCTTACCAGTCTAATCAACCAGTGGGACNAAGCGAGTATCTTTGATTCGTCACTCAAATCCGCTCTATCCCGAGACGGATTCCAGTTCAGACAATATTCGGGCCTTATCGACTCTGTTTGATGTGCGCATTGAATCAGATGAACCTGGTGAAGGTCTACGGGACTTCACTTCGAACAGGGAAAACCGTTTGTCCGGTATTAAATCCACTTATTATCGACGTCGTGAACTAAAGGAAGGACGAATTTCTTCCCGGCGCCGAAGTCTTAGCGTTTCTCAAGGAGCTGGCTCCAGTTACAACTACCGGATTACTCGGAGTTCTGAAGACTTGCTAATTGCTGTTGGCTGTGCAGCCTCAAGTTTATATTCCGAATCCGGCTTCTACTCGGATCGGAAAGCATCAGACCGTTTCTGTGAATCGTCGACGAATAGTCTCTCTTTCGGAAACACGGAGGCATTTTCGTTACAGTGTGAACAACTGGAATTTGACTATGAGTTGCCGTTGGATCCGAATTGGGAACTTCCGAGCCGGTGCCTGAAATTCGGACCGAAACTTGGTGAAGGCGCCTTCGGCGTGGTCTATTTTGCCCGCCTTTCTCTGACAGAACTTTCCGATACACACCGAAAACGGTTCTGCAATTCGTTTTGGGCCTCCAGTGAATCACAAAACAATGTGGACAACGAACCGCCAACTTCGATCCCGGTAGCTGTCAAGCGCCTACGAGGTAGGTCCCCTAAATCCAATTATTGAAAGAATGTGATACTCGCTTCCATATTTATGAGATATCGATGAGCGTTTCTATAATAGTAAGGCTTTCAAAATATACACATTATATTGAGTCACAAAATTTCTGGCCAGAGCGTATCCGGTAAATTGAGATGCGTGATTTCGTTGTTTTCTATCTTTGGATACTATTTTTGAACAATTAGCCGTAACTGATGGTCATTGTGGTCGATATCACTTCCTCCAATAGACATTAAATGCCCCGAGAGTACTCAGCTGATCAAATTGTGATCCTTTCCGAACTTCCAACTGGTTGGAAGTCAATGTGGTGCATTACCAAGAAGCTACGATAAACAATTTTTACGTTTTATAAGTGACCGGAAACTCTTACTGTGGTCCAAATCTCAGTTAGGTCTCGCTGGACGAAGTCTGAAATCTCGCAAATAGCGGAGAGAGCTACTTAGCAACACAATCAAGTAGCGATTTGAAAACAGTCAGAGATGGAATTCAGTGAAATACTCAAACGAAGTCTTTCAAATTTTGACGAAAATCCTCAGACGGAATCCTCAGATGTTATGTGATGAATACAGTCGAATAAATTAATGCAAACATGATCGTCAATTTGAAACAAAGAAGAAACTGTTTAATCAATTTCAGAGTAGAATAATGTTTGATTGTGTCTACTTTTATTAAGTCTTACTCCAGTTTGTGTGTTTGTTTTGTTCTAGTTGTCAAGTTAAGCACCGAACAAATATTCCTGCATCACAATAATCTATTCGGGCAAGAAAGCAATATTCATGCAAGTGTTGAAAGCCTGGAAACTTCACCTAGGTGCACAGTTCCATTTTCTGGGTGAATCCGAGTAGCTAACACATTTTGAACTCAGAGTTTCCATTCGTATATGGTTAGCTTTCTAGCGGATCACCTTCAGTGGAAACGAGGGAATGTAAAGATTTGACCCAATACTACTAACACTTTCTAGTGGTGCTTCTATGGTTAAAGGTGCATCGCCTAACATATGAGAAATTCCTCTTCAGGCCGAATGAACGATGAATTATGATATCTGAACTGATGACGTGATAAACTACATCGCGGTGAAAATAAATATTCACCTTTTCACAGATTCTTCAGTCGCACAGTTAAGACTATGTAGATATTACTAGGCTGGAATAGGTTTACTAAAAGGGCAACCAATCAATTTGGACCAATAAAAATGAGTATGGTTGGGGAAATACACATGTGTAGGTCTCCTCTACCAGAGCGATTTGCTGTGGAACTGAGAATGAATGGGACAAAGCACTTGTCGTTGTTGGTGTGTTCTCCGCGCTGGAAGTGTTGTTCGCAGACGTTTCCTAACCAGGCTGCGAAACGTCTGCGAACAACACCTTCCAGCTCGGAGAACAAACTAACAGCAACATCCATATCCTGAGATACAATCGTTCCAACAAAGCACTTGTCTTCGCACTTACTATTTCCATGGTCAAATTGATTTCCGCGGAGATAGTGAACTAAGGAGGTATTGGTTAACTTTATTCATCCTGACCATACCAAACACAGTTTTGCTTGATACTATCTAGTCTGGGTTGAAGTAAATCACTACCACAAAAATTCTCTTTATTTTAGTTCACGCAAGTCTCATGTGTAATTCTATGTAGCAAACGATTGTCCTTCACTGCGATCATGTTTGTCGCCATCGTCGTCATTAGCGTAGTCAACATTTTCATACACATCAATCCTTGTGCAATTAAAGGCATTGTTCGGCAATAGTTTTTTCGCAATGCTTTTTCCCCGCTCAGACTTTAAACCACTGTGAAAATTGTTGCATCACATATCAGGCTGACCAAAAACTCGAACAACTTCGAATGACCCGATTAGGACAGTGACGAATCCAGGGTCAGTGTTTATCGTTCGCGTGTGATGTTTTTTGTCACCTTCAGGTCATGTGAGTCACACGGACGCCCTGAAATTAACCCAGAATGTGGACAATCTATATCGCTGAAAGTTTTGACTACAGACTAAACGAGCTTCCGGTATGAGTTAAAGCCGATACTGGACTGGTGCACCTGGATATGTGTCTTAGTATGTTTGGTTGGTTTGAAAGATACTTACTTCATTCCGGTCGAGCAACGGAGCATATTTTTAGGGTGTTTCAGGGGAAGAAGAGACCAACAAGTGTGTTGCGGAAAAATCTGTGGAAAATTTCTCACGACTTTACAATATTTGTCATGAAAGTTGTCCGCCGGCTGTCCTCCTTTACATTCGCTGTTTGGTGATTTGTTTAATTTTGTTTTTCGGGCAGCTAATTTCTCTGAACAAGAATTGATGGATCTGATGCGAGAAATGGAAATGATGAAACTGTTGGGCAACCATCCGCATCTGATACAACTGTACGGGGCCTGTACACAAGAAGGTATGTCCCTCTTGTAGAATATGCACACGAACGTTCTCCCGCCCTATCGATACTATCATGTCAAACATGATTTTGAACTGTAAACTTCCAACGAGGCTGTCTAACAGAGACACATGGAATAAGGCACATACACTTAAACACGAGTCAAAATAATTTCACTAAATGTATGTAACAGAGATCGTTTAGGTGGTGATCAAACTAAAGAGATTATCTTCGTGTGTGTGTGTGTGTGTGTGTGCATGTGTGTGTCGCGAAAATTGGCTCCCCTAGTCGGTGAAACTGTACGAAATGGGAACATAGTCAGACGTCAGAAGTGGTACACAAGTATCAACCCCTGGTCGTTGACCTCAGGCCGTTTTGAGTTAAACGTGAAGTGTGGTGGGTGAATCACACACGGTTTACAGTATCCTTGATGTTTATGTTTATATCATTCTAAGGTCAGTTAATGCACGTTCTTCACATTTAAGTGTAATCAAAACTAAACTACAGCGCTAAAATATCTGGGTTTCATCGAATCCGCCGTATCAATTAACTATCGGGTCCACCCATTTAGGTGGGAACTACGAAAAATTTCGGTCACATTTGTATTCTGTGATTTACAATTTGTAGTGCATGTTTACTCGGTGCACGGAGAATTTCCCACATGAAATACTAGCAAGATACCTCTATAAGAAGTCAGATCCTCTAAGGTTCCTCTAAGGTGTAACAAATTGATTCACGAATGGATTCTAGCGATTCAAACGATAGTGTGTGAACGTGGATGAGTAGTAACCAGTTGCAATTTATCCAACTGTATTCTATTTCGCCTGTTCGCTGAGCTTGGCAATTTGTTTGCAAACATTTCATCATCAGCCGAGGTGACATCATCAGTGCTTGTGAAGTGGCCACTTCACAAGCACTGATGATGAAACGTTTGCAAACAAATTGCCAAGCTCGGCGAACAGGCGAAATAGAATTCAGTTCACCCGAGCTACGAGAACCAATTTTCAATACTATCCAACTGTAACCAGAGAAATAGTTGAAAACAACCCAAAGCAGGTGGGTAATTTGGAAAAAAATGAACTTATCAGTCAGTTGTGTCCATCAGTCCAGTCGTACGGGTAGTAAAATGAAATATTTCAACATTATTCATCTAGGATTGTGAACATTGTGAACAGACACAGTTTCATTCATTGAAATTTGCTTCGGCTGGGTGACAATGTTCAAGTCAAGCTGTAATGTTTATTTCACCAGCAATGGCACCGTGGCAGTTTTCCCTGTTTGCCTCTTTTTTCACGTTGGAGGTGAGCGTTAACTTACGGAGAGGAACCAATTTCACTAAATACTAGTGTTATAAACGATATGAGAGTTTCAGTTATCAATCGTTCCTGGGATCTTGAGAAACATGAATGGGAAACCATGGGGCACTAATCAGAACCAAAAAGCTTCAGATATTCGTCAGCAACTTAACTCTTTAATTATATCTAATTATTAAAACAACTTGATGGACGTTAGTATCACACTTTCTTCTCAATCAAGTGCACCATCAATATTCATCCCTTGTCTCCAACAATGGTGATAGTTCGCTTTCACGGAAACTTCTTGATTAGGAGAAGCAACAATTATACTCCCAAAATTAACTTTTACTTTCAATGAGCAGAAATTAGCTGCACCGACACAATTCCCCACGATGAGCGCTGTCACACTCCTTCCCTATCTTGATCAGATCTACTTCCCGATTTCCGCTGCCGTTGATGAAATGCAGATCCGTCAGATCATCCGTTGTTGATGAACCCAGCTTTTGTTTCTATTCGCACTGTACGGTTCACAGGATACAAATCGTTGGCTTTTATTAGTAAGGGGGGCGGATAATGACTCATATCAGCGATCTATTATCCACCAGAAAGTCAAACGCAACACTTCCAGTGTATCTGCACGGTTACTGTAAATCTTACTGGTGATACAAAAACTGAAGGGAGCGACACGCATCAGATCAGAAAATCTCCGAAGACATGAGAAACTCGGTATAGACCGGGGTGACTCATCCGATATATATTCTTAATTTTGTTCACTTTCATTCCGTAAATACCTGGTACGGGCTTTTAAGAAACCAAAAGTGTAGATAATCTCATCGTATAGTTACTTCATCACAGCGCGGTAGTGGTCATGTGGATCAAGTCAACAACGGATCACCCCACTACCGCACAATTTGCCCCTTGTCTTTGAAGCACATGCGAACCGTTTGTTTGATTGCTTTCTCCTTCCTGTAACTTCTGTTTTTGTGACTTGCAATGGATAAAGAGATAGTACTACGATTGGAAAAGAGAGTGGAATAAGGGAGATCTTTACACAGATCCTCGTGTAAGTTTTACCGTTGATTGTCAAACACCTTTACAGTCTGTAGGTCAATAACTTGGCGCCTGGGTGTGTTGGTTTCACCTAAGAAACTGCTTTAAATCTATCGGAATTCAAAAATAAAGACACGACTAGGAGGATCGTATCTAATGTATGAACCAGTTCTCCAGAGGGGATAGCAAATACCAGAGAATTACACTCATTTATTCTGCCCATTGCTTGTCAACTTGTCCATTATGCAATTACATACGAACTATTCGAGAACAGAAAGAATACGATTCAAAAATGCTTCACAATCTGATGGTTCGAATTCTCGACTTCTCGCGCAAAATACAGTCATGTTTCCACCATCACGTGAGAGGGGTAAAAAATGAAACACACTAACCAAAGTATTCCATTGTGTTTATCGGTGCCTCACTGTTTCCAGTGGAAGTCTCAGATATAAGGATAGCTTGCAGTCTTGTAAACTAACCTTGATATGCCACTTAATGCCTTCGTTGATACGTGCTCGCACACCTTCGTGTATCTTATCCCTTAACCTCAGCTATTTTATTGCACTGCGTCACCCTCTCTCTGCCTGTTGCTATTCCTACGCCATGCACCATATACACCCGTTCAGATGCATCTCAGCTTCGATTGTCGTCAGCTATTGGTTTCGCCTGATGCTGGCTGGCGATACACAACGTCCCGAATGCTTTTTGTTCGGTTCCTAAATACTTTGTTTAAGAATCCCCAGGGTTGGTGACCATTTGCGAGGGTCGACAACCGTGTGACTCATCTGACCGAAGTGATTCTGGTGCGGTGCGCTTGTACCTTAACCATGTCTCCCTTAGTTGGTCTGCTCTGAGTCTTACACGAAAACTCCGCCCCACGGTCATTCCACAGGCGATTCGTATGTGTGCCACCATGTAGATAAAGAGAGGGGGGAGGGAATCGCATTCGTGCTCGCGCTTACGCACGCGCGCGTGTGCATTCCCCCAAGGCGTCATCCTCTCGATGATCCGACCGAGGTTCGCACGGGGGCACTAACAGTACAGTACAGTACAGTACAGTACAGTGTGTGCAGGCCGGTCAAATTGCGGAGATTTGTATTCCACCGCGTTTCACGGTCCCGGATGCCACTCTCTGAGAGTTTGACAGTGCGGCCGGTCGGGGTAAGGTGTCCATGTCCGGTGTCACACACCCTCTTACAGGTGTAGTATTAATATGCACACACTCAGGCAAACGCACACAAACACACACACGGGTATCAACATGTTTGCCTAGTGCACACGTGTGTCCCGGGCTGAACGCAGAGACCGGATGTGGATGCGTTTGACGTGATCGGATTCAGCCAGGTAATCCGCTACGGCTGGTCATAAACACACCGTGTCTGTGGATGCAATTGATGAGCTCCTCTTCCTATAGAACTTTATATATCTTTATGATCACCAGTTCAGGGCTTGCTCTCTCTCTCTCTCTCGAGCGCGCGAGTGCACGCGCGTGCGTGTGCGTGCGATATATTGTCTCGAAACACCAACCACTACGTAGTTTGACGAAGATAGACGGAGGGAAAGAATGCACTGTATAAACTTTTCAGCTTTGGTCACAAAATATACCCATTGTTCTGACAGAGAAGCCTGAAAGTGGTAGACTTCTTTTTCAGCTTTGGTTAATGACCGGAATTGATACCGGTCCCCGAAATATTAGTACTGGATGCACCAAAATATGAACTAATGTATAATTACCCATTGAATTTGTAGACGGGGATGGGCATACCGCACTTTCGTTGAAAGATAGTTCAGCGGAAAAATACTACTTCGAACAGCCCAACCGTTATTAGATAATTCAGCTTGACTAGTAAACTATGTAAACTATACCATCGGAAAGCAAAATATCACTGGCAATATACATGGGTGATTTTTGAAGCTCGCAAAAGACCATCTAAATTTATCAAGGGTCCACCGCCTGACAGGATGTGGCACCTTTTCATACTGTGAATAAATCCTCNTTACTTACTGATCTCCTGATGATAAGACGTTGGCTAGTTTTCCGGTATTCATACCAAAACACATGCCGTTGGGACACCGGCTTCTTCGTTCACACATTTTAGCCGATCCGTATAAGAATCATTTTTCAAACCGTAATCCATTTTACGTATCGCTTCCTGTTCACTGTGGAAAAAAATGTTTGACTGTTTTATCTGTATCATTCGACCAGTGGGAGCCGCATTTGTGCTCCAGATTGCTCATCATTTCCCAGTTGTCAAGGTGAATCACTCATTTTCCAGTAAACGGATCAAATCGTTTTTCTTTCAAACTCGGCACCGAATCACCGACCCGATTGAGTCCCTTTGAACGCAACTGATCACCGCATCACATTTTATTTCCACAATTTTGTCAAAGTTAGCAACTGCAGACTTGGCTAGCACACTTGCAATTTTCGAATCATCCCGTTCCGTGTGTCGCAAAGTTGCATGAGATCGCATTATTTCATTGCTGTGGTATTTTGTCGAGTCTTTCATAAATTCCTGTATTCATGTTTTTATATTCACACACGTCTGAATCCAGACCGTGTCAGACAAATCATAGTAAAATAATATTAATGAAAATAAAACACTCCATGTGGGCGGAATAGTGCCAGGTTGCCTAAACCAAGGAAAGTGAATTTTCTTGAGGAATAAACCACCGGAGCCTTTGGCTAGCCAAAGTCTGACCCTCAAGGCAGCATAGCGGCATGGGAAAACCGCAATCCATTGGGGGCCGGTGTTCAGTTCATCAGATCATACGTCTTTTGGACGGGGTCAAACGTCCAAGGTGCCCAATACACCTAGATGCGCAATCGAGCCGGTGACCACTGCCATAACCAGGAACTTGTGTGTGTGTTTCTTACGCCTCCTCATGGTTGGTTTGGAATCAGGGATTTTAGACAACTCTCCCACGTGAACTACCAGTGGTCCACCAACCCGGTTATAGCCCCGGATATCGGCTTTTCGTCCTCTCACTTTGGTGGGAAAACACCTCGGCCACGAGAAGGCAGTGAGTAGGGCTTCCTTAGCAGAGGCTATTTGAGACGCTTGGTCGTATGGAAGCATTTCGCAAGGTGCACGGGGAGGGAGACCAGCCGCAACCCCAGACACCCACCCCTGACCATACTGAAGCATCTTGTAAGGGTATCGATGTTTTCTAAACATTCAGACCGAACATCATCAACAGTGCCTAGTGCCTGTGAAAAACCGAATGGACTAATCCAGGCATTCACCATCTAAATTTATTGAGCCCTTCGCAGAAGGTGATAACCGTTCACCGTGTAGCTCAGGGGTAAGGGTTGAAGCCCCGACCCAAATGTTCGCGGTTCGAGTCCTGTCAGGGACACAAAAAGTACGCACTGTTGACTATGAAGCAGCTGTCCAGTGCTCTTTGTCAGTTATCGCAAACATTTTCACCGCATTTAAATACCGATGTTTTCCTTCGCAAATCACACAGTGGACCACCTGGGGCCGGAGTATCTGTATGAATTACAAAAGAGTTGCAAATCTTTTCCATTTTTTTAGAAATATCATATTAGTTTCTTTTAATCCAAACCATTCCATCAACACAATTCCCCAGGGTGATTTATCTAGAATCAGCAAACGATCTCACCAGTTTCTCACAAAATGTGTCTACTTTGTTATTNTGCAAGTGATTGTTGAATATGCTCCACACGGGAATCTACGTGACTTTTTGCGCTCTCGGCGTCGAAATGCGCTCGGATCGAGTTTGAGCTGGAATGCACTACTTCCCCTCACGAAGCTAACTAAACTAGATCTTCTGGATTTCGGTTTGCAAGTGTCAAAAGGAATGGACTATCTGTCTTCCAGATCGGTAAGCTCATTGTTCTCTCCCAAACGCCCATAAATGTGTTCCAACCTGTGACTTAAACGAAGGAACACTCGTGTGCGTGTTTAATCACTGCTGGATGAGGCAGTTCAACCTTGAGAATACTCGATCGGTCACTCACATGACATCCGGCAACGGAACGCGGTTGTCATGGGAGACCACAGAGTAACAAACAGTCAGGTGCACCCCGGAAGTGCCGTGGCATATGCGAACTCCAGGACTTTGCATTTCATCACATACACACACACACACACACACACACTGCTTCCTCGTTCACTCGCTCACTCCGATACGATGTTCAATGAATATTCTTTCTAGCACCCAATGAGGACCTGTATTGGTGTTGACAATCAACTAGCCATTTGTCCCCGGTCGCACGTAATTAATTAGCTGACAGTGCTGTCTCCTACAATTCACATTTTTACAAACAAACATCCGTGTATTAGATCGTGTACGCATACATACTTGGTGAAAAATCGTGACGCACGAGAAACCGGTATAAAATGTGAACACACCTAGTGTACGGATCGGAAGGAGATGGGGTGGATGGCGAGCGGGTTCTCGCTGGGTTGGAAGTGAAAAGACCTAGTGATGCTTCCGTTCTCTCTTTCACTCTCACTCTCTCTCTCTCGCGCGCGCGCGCGGCTGTAAATTGTCTTAGTACTTCACTCTGGCTTTGTCTCTTATTTGTTTGATATCCTGACGGATCCTAAACTCCGCCTAACTCCGCAGACAGCACCTGTTCCGCATACGAGGCCAGCCGATCACAGTCGAGAGATAGAGGAGCCGTGAAATGAAGCACACCTGGAAGGTTGTGCACACCTTTTAGACATGAAGAAACATGTGAGATGCTTTTTTTATGTTCACAATGCAATTAAAGTTTTGGCAAAACCGAGCGTATCGGGGATCCGTGACTGAGTTAATTTGATGATAATTGTTGCCATGTGGCTATGTCGACCATGTCAGAGCTTTCAGTCTGTCTTTAGCATCACAAGTCGCTTGGACATCAAACTCACTTTGGTTTCTTCTAATCGGAACAAAGACTGAATTACTGTTATTTGTGAAACTGGCCACACGGACAATCAGGGAGTTATTTAGTCATTCAAGAACAAGTTCATATGTAAGAGAGATTTCGCGCATAAAAATTCCAGTCAGAAAAACTTCGGTGGGCGTATCCGCATTTTTGGCGGCATTGCATGGCTGGCTTCTTCTTAACAGAACATCAATCTCTAGAAAAAAACCATCAACTTAATTTCATTCTTTTGGAAAATCTTAGCAATAAAAACTACGTCTTTTCCGTCTTTTTAATCATGTGTAAACAATTTGAAGAGAGGTTTTGACAGCTACAATGATCGATAACGGAAGTTTTGGGGTTCGAAACGAAAAATGGCACAAGACTCCAGTAAACCGACGGCTGCATTGCACCACACGGTATTAGATCTGTCTAGAACCATCCGCCACCCGTGGATGCATTGAAACGTACGATCGTATCCCTTTGCCAAAAAACTCCATTTCTAACAGCTTCCTTATACCTCGAATGAGAAGGATCTCGGTGTTATTATTCAAGATGACTTAAGTTATTCTTTAAACTGCTCCATAGTGTTTTCCGCAGCTACAAGATATGTTGGTTTGTTGAAGGGAGCCTTTCGCAAGTTTGAACTTATGCTGTTTCCATGCTTGTACTCCTTGTACTCCTACATTCGGTTCCACATAGAGTACCCCATTCAAGAGTGGCTGCTAAGCGACCCTAAGCTTCTGAAACTTCCAAGACATATGTGGAAAGACTGAAATCATTGAGGTTGTACTCCACACAGTATTGCGAACACGAGGAGGCTTGATTTTTGCGTCTAAAACAATGCAGAACCCTGATTTCCTTCGTCGTTCATTATTCAAGTTGTCGCCCAACACACACCTCAGGGGTCGCTCATTTAGATTAGAGGTTCAAGGCGTTTTACCAATATGCCGATGTCATTCATTTGACCTCAGAGTGTGCAGCATTTGGCATTCTCTAGTACCTTACATTGTTTCTGTGGCGAAAACTGATTCTTCCAAACACAAACTGAATGAAACATTGCCGGGTCTTAAATTTCGACATCCGTATCAGCACATGAAGCAATGAAAATTTGTGACACTCCTAGTGTCCCTATGGTCCGTAAAGCAATCAAGTTACGCAAAGAACCCTATGGGACAATAAGAGCAACTATTTGTAGATATTTACCAAAATAAAAAGTTTGACTTTGTAATATATTCAATATATTCAATATTCCTGTTAAAAGTCCAAGTTCCATCCCTAGTTCATTGCCAGGGGGTCAATTCTTTATCCTTTTTTATCACCCATACCTTGGATATTGCTCTTCTGAGCTTGCTTCGTGTGCATCCGTTTCCCTACTGTTCCCCGCCATTCNTTCGAGAGACCAAATCGTTATTATGTGATTTTTCCCGGTTCCGTATTGCTGAATTCTAGTCTCACCCCGGCTTAAGAATAGACAAACTTTGGAACGCTCTTGAATCATCCTCCCGTTTTTCCTCTCGCCCTATTAGAGACAATTCTTTGAAACCTATCATCCATCGTCAACATTTTCACTCACCATTTTAACAGTTTAACCGTGAACCAATTGGCGTCTACTCCTTTTTCTCGTGAATTGTTTTGTTGTATAGTACGATTGGTAAGCAGTTAGCACAACTATGTCTATAGAATTGTACCCAGCAGATGAACTGCGCGAGTTCCGAGCGTTTACCTATTTCCATGTAAAAGTTATTTGTTATTCATAGTGTTCGACGCCATTTCATCAGCAGAGATGGGTTTAATGAATTTTTCGATTCTGATTTTAAATAATTCACTTAGAGCTACCATTAAATGACGTGAACAAAAGCTTCACTCTCAAAGAGCAGAGAGAGAGAGAGAGGTAGGGAGAGAAATAAAAGCAGCAAGGAAAAAAAGAATACTGCCCACAATCTCTGCATCCCATTATACAATAGTGACGAACAATCTAGAGACGATTAGCGAAAAGCAGAGAACATGCACACGAAGAGGATACATGAGAACATCTATCAGCTCACTGCTTCATTTTCGACCAATTTCAGGTTGTACACCGGGACTTGGCAGCAAGAAACGTATTGCTTGGAGAAAACTTTGTGATCAAGATTGCCGATTTCGGTCTCACTCGTGCCGTATGCGATTACTATAAGAAAATTAGCACCGTGAGTTTCTCCAAATGCATTTGTTTGACGAGAAACTGAGGGAGATTTATTACTCGCTTCTATCGTTTGTAAATAGGTTGAATAGACCAGCAGTTTATCAGTTCACGGACAAAATTGTTTTTCAAATTTTTTTCAAGTGGTGAACTGAAAAACTGCGAACCACTGTGCAGTCGGTTCGAAGTTGATGGATCAAATCAACAGTGCTAACCTATCAACTAACTTGTACTTCTGTCTACGCCAGAGCCTTCCAGTTGGTATTGAAGAGTGTTAATTCAGAGCAATATGGTCAACGACCAACACCTCGAGAGCAGAGCTACACAAGTTTGCTATACGTGTAGGGTTTAAGCCTAGTAGACTTTATTGTGATGTATGTGATACAAATTGAGAATTAAATATCTCCCTTGGAGTGAGACTGACAAAATGATAACCGTCCAGTCTCTGATATCTGCAAATTCCTCATTGATTGAAGGATGAACTTGTATACTGAACTAGAACTCTGTCAATTTGCGGAACAAATGCAAGCCTGTTTTGATACAACTTCTAACATCCGTTCATCTACCCACAAGTCTTGACCGTCAAGAATGCCTGATACTTCTTAACAATCGGATGGGCTAGTCCAAGCTTACTACAGAAAAATTGATGGAGCCATTCGCACAAGGTGATGACCGTCGACCGTGTAGCACAGGGGTAAGGGTTTGATGACCCAACCCAAAAGTTCGCGGTTCGAGCCTGGCAGGGACACAAAAAGTACGCGCTGCTGACGAGTCCCGAAGAGGACGAAACAGTTGTCCAGTGCTCTTTGTCAATTATCACAAACATTTCCATCACCTGTAAATGCACTAGACTATCTCTTCCCCTCCCATGAATAATAAAACAACATCTAAGTGTCTACATAAAAACCACATACTTTCTTAGCGTATAAACAGGAATAGGTTAGGTAGATGTGTGTGTGATGTGTACTTTAAATGAAGACGCATCTGTTCGGTTAGTGATTCTGCTGTCTGAGCTACTATTCGGAGTGAGATAGGAATATTCGTTTTTTTGTACTGGTAACTTGTAACTAAACGTCTACAGAGTGAATGACTCTTCCCCATGCTGATTTACTTTTGAAGCTGATTATCCACAACCCTCGTCAAATGGGATGCGATTATTATCAACCGAAGATCCACTTGAATGAATCATCTTTGGCCACCACGGGGATAACAATTCGGTTTTCTCTTAAGACCGGAGGGAAATACCCTGTGGATGATGATGATGATGATGAGTCAGTCACATGGCCAGACCGAACGGCGACTTTGTGTGACGCCGTATGGTGTTAATGTCAATTTCAGCCGGATTGGGGTCCCAGTCGGCAGATTAATGAATGATCCAGTTGGGTTTATCGGTTATGGAGCTAAGTTGTATGCAATTAGAACAGTTCATTTCCATCCGTATTGATGGTTCGGATCACAGAGACCACGCGGATTGTTTCTGATTTGTTCCGGCGTATGCCGATTCAATTACAGTTGGATCGCGGGTTTTTTTCACTCAAGTACTTTGATCATAGGCCGAGAGGAAGTAGAACTAGGTGATGAAAACCTCACGCAGTTCGATGAGGACAATATTTGTTCAGAGTTTGCATGAATCCTTTGTTCGCGTGCAATAACGTTCCTCATTCTAAGGTTCGTAGTGTTGGTGATGCTTTAATCCGAAATGATTTGGTAAATCGATGTCATGATCACAACCCTTTGTTTCGCAAATTTCTAATCGCTGAGCTTCTGTTGCAACTTAGAGCTGAACTCCACCCGGTNCCCGGTACATTCTCAGATGGTGGATATGAGGAAGGGTCATCGGTTTGGTCAATGACCGTGTATAAGAGCTGAAGCTCACTTCTTGTGAGATATGCTATGTTAGAAGAGATGTACGAAGTGAAATTCTCAGTCTCCGCCTCGTCTGAAACCTCTGTGAGTTCCCTGGTTTGAACCGATCGAAATTCGTATGAACTGGACCATCGATCATCTATTACCAAACAGGAACGAACCCTGTCTGGAGGTACCAACTTACAAACCGGATCCTTGTGGTCAAGGGATCGAAGAGAGGCCACCTGAGACAACTCTCTACTCCGTTCTGCATTGCTAGAGAGCAACTCGCTCGAATTATCCTCCTCATTTAAAAACTGAATGGTACTATATGTGCTGTTTTGTACCACACTCCCGTAAATCTTCTTCGATTTATCTCTAGCCATACGTTACAGCCTCCCCGGTAAGCGAAACGCCTCCTACCTCCCCAATGTCTAGGGTAACCAAAACACCGGGCACGCGTCTGTAAAGCTGACTGAAACGTCATAACCACATGGACACAGTCAGGCAGTGCTTTAGTATGCGACACACACAGATTATAGAATGAGCACAACCCTTTTCTTTGGGTTACGTGTATTTAACTCCAACAGCCGACATATCCACGTAGCCCATGGATAAGCATCCTAAAAAATGTACCAAAGTTGGTCAATAGAAAATTTTGGGCTTCATTGGGTTTCAGCAAGGATCACTCTAGTTCGGAATCGAAGAACTTCGTTTAATGTGACCGTAACTGCAGTCTATATCTCATGCGGATCAGGACGTGAAAGACGATCTTTGATTTAAATTACGAAATTCAGAAATCGGACCCTCACACGTAACCTCCTGTTGGTCGTTTCGGAGTGCACCCAGTACAAACCGGGGAAATTAGTGGATGACACGAAAGCTCCGACCGCTGATGTCTACAATAAAATTTAAGTANTCATATCTCAGATTAACTCACTGATGCTCACAGACATTGTAACAATTACACCCGTGCAGCGTTGGTGTCACTTATTCCGAGGTGACATTTGCGCATCTTTTTCGATGTGAGGACACACCAGATGTTCAGACCCCGAACGGAATGTCATAGTCATACTGGAGGTTTGAGTTTTGCCTATCTGAAAGCTGATTTTTTTATAATAATTTCTCCCTAACAGTCGAATTTCTGGTTGGGTTATTTGTGGGATTCTGCAGAAAGTAAATCGTTCTCCTCGTAAGTGATTATGGGGTTAACCCCTTTTGCTGTAAATTACTTTGTGTGTAATAAAAATAGCACATTGATGGGTTAAACCGTACGACATTGCATATAAATTCATCTCTTATACATTGCAAAAGTATATCATTTTCCCAATTTGGATGTCATCGTATTTGTTTCATGATACGCTGCTGAGTTCCTGGTTATCACTAGAACAAACTAAAATTTTTACAATCTGCTCTGTTATCGNCAATCTGCTCTGTTATCGAAATGAAACCGAAATTCGTTTTGATATTCTTCACACAGGGTAGACTTCCCGTCAAATGGATGGCTCCAGAATCTCTCTTTGATAGAAGATACACAACCAAGAGTGACGTGTAAGTCTCTGTCCCTAGCCACTGTTTTCGGCTGCTTTGTTTGCAAACTTTTGAATTTCGCTATTTACACTTTACAATGGGTGAGTACAACAGCTGCTTTCAGACTCCTGGAAGAAATTCACAAATCACTCAGTTCAACCCAAAGAAAATGAAATGGAAACGAACTTCTCAGATCACGGTAATAACAGCGTAATCCGGAAATTGCAATTTACTTTCATACAGCATGATCTTTAGTCCAGTGATATTTCGTGGTGAATGTACGCGGGCACCTTAGCCGTCTGTTTGGAAGAAAATTCCCCTGCCCTTGGTAATGCGTAGTTATACCCTACACCTATTTCGCCTCAATTATGTACGATTTATTCTATTCCATCATTCTATAAGATGTGAATTTTTCAACATGCCACTGTTTTTGTAAGAACTTACAAACTAATGTTGCTTCTGGAGGATTCCCTGATCTGGAAGTTTTAATTGCTAACTTTTCGTAGCCAGGCTCGGTGTAACGTCGGCAGTGTGAATTCTAGGAAGCGTTGCCATCAGTATAATCAGGATTATATAGTTCAGTTAGAAGGTTTTGATTGTGAGAAAAACAGTCTGGTCACATTGTGCAGAGTGACTTCCTCGAAGGTAGCTGTTCCTGTTGCCTAGCCTGGCTACGAAACCGCACTTCCAGCTCAGAGAACACTTCAATACCAAAAGCCATAACCGAAGCTGAAATAATTCAACACTTCATCCGACACCCAATAATATCTGAACCCCAGTCAAGACCAGCATAATGTTTCCATATTTCTCTATCGCCTGCCTTCAGCAGGTGCGCCTTTTCGGTGAATGAATAACAAATTTGTCATTTCGTGGAAACTGTTGCAGGCAAGTTTAATGTCTTTCTCTCTATTGCGTGTATGCGGATTCACAGGCAATTAAAGTCTGTGTTTTATATTCTTGTTGACCGGCTCACAAAGTCCTACTGAAATGCAAGAAATCTTTCGATTCAACTAGCCGTGCCTTCCTCTCCCAGGGAGCAGGCAACTGCCTAAGAGGCTACTGGCTACCTGCATCGAATCCCGACAACGGTAACCATTGCTAATGAGTCCCAACAAGGTAAAAACGGTTGCCGAATACTCTTGTCCGGCCAGTTCGCAGAAAAAGTCTCCTCACTTAGTCCAAGCTCCTTCTGTTTAAATTATTCATGTAATGGAAAACTCTTTAGAAGTCTTTGTTTTACATTTACAATCACGGGCATATATTCAAATTGCTATACAAGCTGATACATATGTACAATCAGTAAATATGAAATCATCAGTATTTGCTCAACCTCAATGAACATTCAAAATATTTATTTCAGATGGTCCTTCGGAGTGTTATTATGGGAGATTTTTACCATGGGCGGAGTTCCATATCCGTCAATTCCACCGGAACGCCTCTTCGCAAAGCTTAAGGCTGGTTATCGAAATGATTGTCCACCATTGGCCAGTGTGGAACTGTACCAATTAATGCTCAACTGCTGGAATGAAGATCCACAACGCCGGCCGAGTTTTCAGTCTATCGTGGACTGCCTCACACAGTTGCGCCAAAATCCCTCGTTATGTACAAACGAAGATCAAGAATGGACCAGTTCAACTGTCCTTGAAAATGATGGAATTCGCAGTTTCCTCACATCATCTAAACCGGAGTCTGTAGTCGTCGTATCTCAGTCTCTATCCGGAACGGGAGCCAAATACTCTTCTGTTGAAAACAAGTCGACACTTGGAGTGAGTAGGTTTACAGTACGGTCTATGTTTAGTTTTCAAAACCGATAAATACATGAAATCAATCCATAAGAACAGGGTGAAACTCATCGACATAAATTGCCGCATAAGTAGTTGGTAGATGGCTCCACCGTAGCCCAGTTCACTACCACGCCTGATCTATTGAAATCTTGTGTAGCCCATAACTCTAAGCCTCTCGATCCTATCTTCAGGTTTCTGTCTCACCACATGAATATGACAATACAACCTTTGCATTTGTAATTTTTGGTCCTGCTTCACAGTGGAGTTTTCATAAACATGCATTGGTCAAGCCCTGGTGAACGTGTGCTCCAGAAAACCGTCATCTCAACCGAACTAAATTTCATTTACATCCTCCACACTAATCTTACTGAAAGTCGATTGTAATATTTTGTTCGATAAAAAGCATCTGAAAATACCCAAAGCAGTGTGGAGGATATCTCCTTCCGTTTGCTTGCACGCGCTGTTTAATATCCCAGCAAGAGCCGCATACTTCCAGTACATTCCGTGTGGACAATATGACCATTCACTTATTTCTACTTTGGAGGGACCCCTTTCGGTGTATTCATGAACCATGCGGAACATCGGAGCATATTCCGATCAGGAGTACTCTAATTTTACATTGATCATACTCTGTTTATTACGCTGTGATCTAATTGTATGCGAATTATACTAGTCATCATTGCAAACTGAATCCATCGACTTTTATAAAAAAAAATAAAATGCACAGAAGGGAAAAAGATTGTGACACCAACACCAGGACAGTTCATCGTATTTCTGTCAGAGTGCTTTATAAGCATGACCTCTGTTTAAAGCAATATTTTAGTTCGAGCTAGAACAGTGTACAGTATGACATAACCTAAGGCAGTGACTGGTAGTATTTCCACACTTTCCTCGTTCATCCACTGGCGGTCTTTTCAGTGAACTGTGTTATCAATGTCAAATTTCGAGGTCTTAAATATTTTTACAGAATGAATTAGTGAGAGATAATCAGGGTCAGTCCATTTCACGCCTATATATATGACCTAGGCACGGTATGTAGTTAGAGTTTCCAGTGAAAACGCTTTTCCTGGGCGAAATTTTCCACAAATGTGATTGATTACTGAGTATCTCACTCTTGGAGTTTACTCCTGTCAGTAAATATTTTTCAGCTTACCTTCAATTACCTAGTCGTCAATGTGGAAAATTTGCGTGTGTTTGATTAAGAATTGTAAAAACCAAAGTGTTTCATTCAGTTCTATTCTGTCCACGCATATATGTGACATTGTATCCCGTTCGTTGGAAACATCAAGCGATGACTAAATGTGACAATTTACATTTCAGCAACACTACGTCCAAATGACTGAGGGATACCTTGTCCCACGTTCGGACTAGTCATCCCGGTCATCCTCCTCCGGTCCCCAATCGATCTAACACAGCTCACAGGACAAGGCAGCCTCAGCACTTATTGCATATCTGGTGTCATGTGCAGAAATCATGCAGACAAATATCACGAAAATCGGCGAGTATAGGCAACATGACATGCTGTTGGTGGTAACGCGGGGGTGGGGGTCCGGCAGTTCTTCCCCATCCCATTATTTTTCATTTTTATACAGAATGTTGTCTTCCGGCTTGAAAAGAAAAACAGCCTATTTCACTGCGAGTGAAACTTGGATGAGCTTCTTTTTAGAACCATTTATACGAATACATCTATTTTTGACGGTCAACCGAACCGTTCATTTTTACCATAATTAAGTCATTTTTGCTACCATTGTACAGTTTAGTCTCATTCATATTCCCTATTCCATTCATTTCCTTTTTATGTGTCCATCAGAATCTGTATTTATTTATTAAAGTTGTATTCCGTTTCGCTTCTGGGTTTTCGGTCACTTCAAGGTGATTCACTCTCAAAAACTACCACGTTTCGTAAGGGTGGCGGTGTTGGTAGTGGCGATGGTGGTGGTGGTGATGATAGTGGTATTGGTGATGGTGGTTTTGTTTACTTTTTACACTGATCCACTAATGATCATAGTGATAGTGATAGTGATACACAATAAAATCTGATTGTATAGTCTATTGTATAGTCGATCCACAGTTCCCTTCTCGGTAGATATGGTTGGTGTATATCAGCGGGTCGAACGAGAGCAAGCAGTCGGGCGGATATTTATTGGTACTGCGTACGCTGACGAACAGCAACCAAGCTGCATCGTATGCATCGTACGTCTGTGTATGTGCGCGTGTGACAACCCCCAAACGCAAAGGGTTGGTCGTTACTACTTCTCTGAACTGGACACTTGTCTCTTTGTGTCTATAGGGTGTTTCGTCAAGATCGCGCTGCTTGATTGACACGCATGCATCACTGACCGGTTTGATGTGCGATAGCGCTTTTAGAAATCCAGATATATGCTTGGATTGTACACGAAACGATAAAATACTAAGCGTACGACTCGGTATCCAATGAGAGAAGGTGTGCTGACCGACTTCTACCTACCCGCACATGGTGACAACCACTTAATGCATTCATTTGATCGTTTAGTACCGGTGGTGATAGTCAGTAGCCCGTTACGATGGTATGAGAATTATTTTCACAACTGTAGCATAGTACTTTTATCGGATTTTGAATAAAAGTAGTCTCCAGTAAAAACACTGCTCTGCAAGAAAAAAATGCCAAGAAAAGAGACCGTATTGATCAAAACATTTAACTCCTAGCATAAGACTTACTCGGCAAGCAAAATTACCGATAAAATGCAGATGAAACAACGAAACCAGTTCATAGATGCGAACTCTATTAGCCTCCAAAAGCTCCCAACATTACCGCTATCGCCATTTTCAATCTGACAGTACTTTTTAATTTTGCTTCAAACATTATTCACACTCTGTACCATGAATGAAAAAATGGATATATAAAGTTGTTGAATCTTGTTTGTTTCATCCGAAACTTAGTAATTCGAATACGACTATCTTTGACGCGGTCACAGAAATCAACTAGCTGCATCGGCATGGCTAAGCATAAGTTCTATCACTCTTTTTTCAACACAAGTCCTAAGTTTGTATCCACAGTGATCATCCGATTCTAGCCATATGCAGTGGCAATACTTATCTTCTTCTGTACCAGTCACCATGGTTTTTTGGTGAAGTTAGTTTGCACCGGTACGGAAAACAATGCGTTTACATTCCACATTTGCGTTATAAAATGAATCCACCATTTTGACACCCTGGAATGTTGAGGCAACTGTTGAGGTTGTTTCCGATTGAAAAGTTGGTGGAACAGATCACAAACAACTTCACAGTTTCACTTGAAGTTCTTAAATCCTCCAGGTGAAGCGGCGCAACCATCAGACCATTAATCCAAACTGCTTTCGGATGTTATGGAGACTTTTCCCTTATAAAGGGTTTATTTTGAACGAAGCGGCTCTAATACTGAGCATTAACACCAATAAAATTGTGTCCGCGATGGTTACTGACGATATCTGGTCTAACATCGTGATTTTGATTGGACTGATACGTGTATCACGTGGTTTCACCTTGTACACTTTAATAATTTTGACTTGTGTTTCTGGTTGACTTTCCTGAGAATAACCGCTTTAAAGATGTTTTTTTCAATAGGCACTGATAACACGAACCTTTTTTCAGTGATCCCATTAGTAAATGCAAATGGTCTTGTTTTTTTGAATTTCGAGCCACATGGCCTTCACGGGCCGATTTGAAAAGTGTACAATGATTCAGTAGAAAAGAATTCTTGGACCAAAGGAGTGCTGATCGTGGACAACTCTCAGTACAACTCCATTGAATTGTGATGGAAAACCTCGATTCCGCGATGCGTACCGTTTGACCGTTAATCCTTGCCTAAAACAGCACTAATGCACCAATGGCTAACCCGATGACATCTTAAAAAAATAAAGCCAGTGACTCGTGAGTGCTTTCTAAAATGAAACATTTGGAATTTATAAATATACAGTGCTTTCCGACATCCTCAGGTATTCACTTTACGATCTTTCGGTAAATGATGAGCAAGTTTGTGAGATACGTCGTCGGAGTTGGAGGATACCAAGATAATATTATCATGCACGTCTCGACCAAAACTACTATCAGAACCGCTCCGAACGTTTTTTGAAACAATTTACCATTTCAGAACGACATAGGTTCGCGATACAATTGTCTTCCGAAAATTCAATCTCAAACCATCTGCCGATTTTTTTCTTTAGAACGGTACGACCACTAACTACCCCGATCAAGAGGCATCATCCACAGACCGAATCAGTGAACAGCTCCATCCTGGCTAACGTAGTGAACAGTGGGCACCAAACACATCCGGATGTTGCTTTCGAAGTTGCTCATCGTCCCCCCTCCCCTCACACACACCTACACACACACACACACACACACACACACACACACACACACACAAATCCCAGGACATTCAGTTGTGCACTCAAACAATAGTCGCAATGATCGAGATAATGACCTTCACCCCTGACCCGCTGCGCCCCAAAGCCTTTGATTAAGTCACACCAACTTCTGTGGCCCATTATTGGTCAGGATTGTCCGATCACCCCCAGGACATAAGCTAGTTGAACCTGTAAAACGGAAAGGGCAATTTGATCATTAAAATGTAGTAGTCGGAGTAGACACAAATTAAGAACAACGAATGACGAATCAGAAGCGGAACGCGCAGTTGTACGAGGAATCTTCTGCCAAAGTATCCAGGAAGAAGGCCAAAGAAGTTTGGTTTATTGGTTTATTGGAAGAAATCAATAAGATTAAATGATGTGCGAAAAAATGTCAATGGGTTAACAGATTTTCATCGATCCTCTGGTTGTGTTTTCTTCGTCACATGGTTATTCTGTTTGAACCGCGTGATTGATTGCTCTTGATTGTTCGATAATGTTGAGCTGTGGGTGTTTGTGCAGAAACTGTAACGCGTAGCTCATTTGCTGACGTTATCTCGGAGAGTTAGACCACCATACAAACTCTTACCGATGATTGGTGCTAATCTTTCTTTAGTATTAACCATATTAATTGTTATGGATTAATTATCATGAGTGCATGCACTCCCTGATTCGCTTTCCGTCATCTAGTGGCAAACCTGATGCATGGCGGGATGTGCTCCATCTACTCACTAGGATTCGATGCCGCATCTAATCACCACCAGTGTTCTAGAACCTAAATAGAGAAGGGAGACAAGTCTTATTGTTTTGCACTGAAAATAGGCAACGATGGATAGTTGTATGTTCTCCCAAACTCCGACTTCTCTCTATTACTGATGCTTCTGTTGGGATCAACGAGGTTTTAAAACACAATGATAAATCGGCCATTCGTGTGTGACACCGTTTACACCAAGAAGAATGTGGTTGTTTGCACACGCACCGAAAAGCTTTGACTGTGTAATGAGTAAAGGTTTGATGTATCATTTCCTATTGATTGCGACCACGGATCTCTGAAAGTTCTATTCCGTGTAACTAAATCTTTATCTCATGTGCGCCTGTTGCGATAGCTCAAAGATGGAATATTGCTCCCAATGCACACGGCTACACAGTAGTGCGCAGACCGACAAGAAACACTACTTGGTGGATGATTTATCTCGCCACCTTTATTTCTCACCCCTGAAGGCAGTTTTCCTGCAGTTATAATTTGATGCAAACATTCTATTGGGCAACTGTGATTCCAATGCAAAGAAAAGTAACTTACTTTCCCGTGCTGATGAACAAATGTCAACCCAACTAGGTGGAAAAGATTTCACTGCAGGGATTGTAAGAACCAGCAGAGACTTAGGAATATTGGTAGCGGTATATTTCCGCTGGGAGAATCAGTGTACTGGCTGCAGCGAGGGCGAGGAGAGAGCTGTTCAGGCTCAAGTTAGTACTATCGTGTAGGAAACCCGACGTATTCCTCCCCCTGTACAAAGCCATAGTTAGGCCGCACTTGGAGTACTGCGTGCGGGCTGTGGCACCCTTCTTCAAAAAGGATGCAGTCTGTTTAGCAAAAGTCCAAAGACTAGCCACCCGAATAATTTAAGATCAAAAGGGTAAGTCATACAAAGACAGGCTAAAAGGCTTAGGACTCTTCTCGCTACAAAGGAGGAGACTAAGGGGAGACTTACTGGAGACCTTTGCGATTGTAAAGGAGCTCTCGAGAGTAAGAAAAGAGAGCATGTTCCAGGAGGGTATCCAACAAGGAACTAGAGGAAATGGGTAAAAACTAAATAAGCAGCGGTGCAATCTAGTTGTTAGATCCAGATTCTTCAGCAACAGAATAGTGAACAGTTGGAACCGGTTGCCAAAGGAATTAGTAGAATTAGGAAGCATGACTGCATTTAAGCTAGCCTTGGATGAGCGATGGTTAGAGCTCTTTCCAGAATCAGATCCTTAATGTACTATGGAACGCCTTCATGACCCATGTCCCTTGTTTGTCGATGAGATAAAAGGAGACGAGCTTTTTCCTTTCCTTTTCAGCAAAGACGCCGTATTGAAGGCAATTCGCAATACTAAGTCTGACCGTTACTCACCCCGAGAAACCAGACACTTAGACTATATTTCACAGTTCACGACCGACATTCAGCATGTCCAAGGCAAGTCAAATTGTGTTGCGGACGCTTTATCACGTATTCAAGTTAATGCGATAAAGTCCCCCTTAAATATCAGTGCTATGGGTGACGCCCAGGCAAATGACTCATCTTGCGAAGAGGGGGTCCACTCAACTTCTTAAGATGTCAGGCGATACTGTTAAAAACTGGTAATGGTACCATCTTATGTGACATGTCTACAGGTCTACCTCGACCAGTAGTACTCTCATCCTATCGTCGTTTAGTTTTGTACACCTTACATGGTTTATCACACCCAGGCATCGCAGCAACACTTCGTTTGATTACTGCAC